TAAATACTTAACCCAGAAATTATACTTTGTCTCTAAAATATATTTGATCGATAAACCTTCAGAAGCTCTTCATAAATCGCACGGCAAAGTCTTAAAGCTAAATCCTTTGTTAATCTTGCGTTAATACTAATTTTCAGTCGTTAGTATCGTAAGATAACAATATTATTTAGATAATTAAAGCCTATGCTTAAGATTTATTTAATAATAAAGTAGATACTCTTGTAAAAAAAGATAGTTCTTTTATTATTCTTGATTACAATTTACTTAACCTAGACTATCTTTTAACCTTTTAAGAAATGCCTATATTCATATTATCTAAATACTTTATTTAAATACTTTTTAAAGCTATTTGCTTCTAAGAGACTTTAACTATTTCTTATTATTTTTATTATCATTGATATTTTATTAACTAGATAGTTTTCACCTTTATTCTTAATAATAATGAATCTTAAAAAAACAAAGATACAAGTTTATATTATTTCCTACTCTTAAAATTCTTAAAACTCAATATCCCTCATTATTTTCTTAATACTTACTTTATTATTATTGCTCAATAATAGAAAAATCTTTAACTATATTTGACTTTATTCAACTTCTTTTCATTAGATATTTACATTGATAAATTCTATATATTAACTCTTATTTTTGCAACTAAGTAAACTAAAAGAAACTAATATAATTACTGATAATCAGTTAAGTCCTATTAGTTTATCTCCAATATGAGATCTAATTTTACGAGAATTAAACTTTTGTTTCATTAACATTATAAAGATTTAGTTTCTGATAAATGACTTTATCACTTCTTTTATAATTTACTACCATATTTTTGAATAAGCCTCTTCAATATAAAAAGAATATAATACACTTATGAAATAATTAGAATGTTAACTAATTATTACCTTAGTTACTAAAAAAGAACAATTCTATTTCTATAGTTTCTTTTTTCACCTTTTTCTCAACTCTTTATTTCTTCTTCCTTTATATTATATATCTTTTAGAATTTTTGTGATTCATGCAATAGTAAAAATATGATTCTATACAAAAAAAGGTTTTATTCTTTGTCATACAAGATAGTTAGGTAATTATTAAAATATTTTAATTAATAATTCTTAATAAAAATCTTATAAAAAATAAGTAATATTTTAGATTTATATTAAATATATTTATGTTTTTTTAGTGACGAGATATTATTGAAGAAGAAATCAAAATGTATTGATAGCTATTTTTAATTAATAATTGGATCATTTATCTTAGAGAATTCATTTTTTTATTTATTTTTTTTAATTACTTATTTTTACTAGAATAAGAGTAAGCTTTTGTAATATTTTTATTGTTTTAATTTTTAATTTACACAGGTAAAATGATGTCAAATTGGATCTCAATCTGGTTAGCTAGTTGGTGACCAATTATATGTCAGTTTATAATTATTTTTTAAAAAGCATAATACCCGATTTATGTTAATTTATGGCGGAAATCAGTATTTAATAATCACAAATAGGCGCGTAAAAATTTTAATGTAATCAGACTATTACCAACTTATAATCATTATGACTTGTCCAGTAAATACATAACTCTTTTAGCTAATTCAACAATTTATCGATAATCTGGAAGGCATACGATTTATGTTTAATCACGCTTCCCAATTGTTATTTTTTATTTATATTATTTATAATAGAACATGATATTTGTATATTTTATATGCATTATATCAGATTAATATAAATTCTGCAAATTACTTTTTATTAATGATATTTTGATGATTTACAATTAATACAATTGTTAAAGATTTTATGTAATGAGATTAACGTTCTGTTAAAAGTAAAACAATATAAAACTAATTTATCAATAAAAGAAATATATATTAGAATCATTTACTAAAAAAATGTCAAAGTCAAATAACTGAAATCATACTAACTTCTGTAATATCAGCCTAATAATTAATTTAGCGAATCCCCTTCTTAATCAATCTTAATCAACCTAAAAATTAGAAAATTTTTTATAAATAATCAGAATGACTTTAAAAAATAGTTCATTATCTCACAAACTTACCAGCCGTTCTTGAAATTCATCACCATAACGTAAGTTACAAAAGTTCTCAACTATATTTTTTAACTAGCCTCGATAGTCAACACAAGTCTAACCAGAAGCGGAAAAGGATGCAGATTCTTCTTTATCATAAAAATGTTTATTATAATGAACATATTTTCTTTCTTTTGGAACTTTTGATTTTTCATTAATCATTCGATCTATATAATTTCGTTAAAATAAACATAACTTATAAAATTATAATTAGTATATGGATTATTGCAAAATTAAAATAACAATAAAGATTAAAAAATCACTTACAGTAGTTGAACGCCATCTCAAATCTCTTATAGTTACTTTTCTTTTACCAGACGGATTTTCTTCATCTGTCTCAAAAATTTTCAGCGAGTGATAAACATTATTATTAAGAATTGGATTTAATTGATCATCATGAAACTTTCAGATTAACAGGTCATTGATATTTTGCAAGTGTATTATTATTCTCACTCGTTTATTTCGTTTCTATAATCAAAATAAAAAATTTAATAACTATTAAAAATAGATTGATGACTGTTTCTTACTTCATTTCTACGATAATTCAAATGTTTTCTTCATTTCTGATCATTATTGTATGCCGGTGATCGTCCTCATACTAAGTATGCTTCACGCTGATAACAATGTCTAGTGTATATAATATCATATATGATCTCTTCTACAACTGGAAAGGTATAAGGATCTAAGACCTTCATTACAATCAGAATTATAATGCCATTTACTAGATTTCATTGCGATTCGAAAGTTTGATTTAATTGCAACTGTTTGTCTTCTGGTAACCTTTTAATTTTTCACATAACTTCCCGCTAAGATATAAGTATTTATAATAATTAGTAAAATATTCAAATTAAAATGAAATTGAAGAACAATTTACCCTCAGAGCTTGTCGAAGGTTAGTTGGCATATCTGAAATATGAATGTATTTTGGTATCCTATGTTATATAGATTCCTGTTCTGAGCTGCTTGATGAACTATCAGAATCACTAATATCAGATTCTGGAGTTGCTTGATGGGAGCGAAACTTATGATTGCCTTTACTAATATCAGATTCTGAAGTTACTTGACAGGAGCGAAACTTATGTTTGTTTTTCTTGGAATTGTGATGATAATTTTTATCTTTTTCATTGCTGTTTGTTATAACTATATCTTGTTTTTAATATGTATTAGAAGGAGCCAAGGGTTTTAAAACTCGTTTATTTCTGTTAGTAAGGATAGAAGGACTAGAAACTACATAATCATCTTGGTCTTCCCAAGTATTATACTGGTTTGCTGATTGTTCTTTGTCATTATATTTGGTCGAATCTGAATCATTCACATCATCAGTATAATTATTACAATCTTGTTCTTTAAGTTTATCTTTAAAAATTCGCTTGATTAATGCTTTTAAATGTTCCGGTTCATTCGGTTCATTGATTGTATCTAGAAAAGTTAATATGATAATATAATTGTAAATAAATCAGTTTATGCATTGTTTGGTTACAATGTATCAACCATATCAGTTAATTAATCTTACCAATTATTTTCTTTTTTTCATTCGGTCTTTTTTTCAATGGTTTTTTATAAGAATTATCTGAATTAGAAGATTCAGACGAACTTGACGACACAACCTGATGGTGTTTGTGTTCGTGTTTATGGTTCCTTTTAGTTAGTTATTTTATATAAATGAAATATTTAAAAACATAAAATATGAAGTAAGCTAAATATTAATGAAAGTTACTGATCCGTTTTCTGATGCTTGTATTTCTTTGAATGTTATTTTGAGTCTTTTTAATGTATATCCTTTTCACCATTTCTTTTTTGACTTTTAGAATGGCTTTTGTTATTGTGACTGCCATAAAAATTTGTGCCTTTTGTTTTATTTTCAGTATATCTAACCATATTATCAGAAATTTAAAAAATATAAAAGGTAACTTTGTTGAGATAGAAAGAAATTTGTTAAGATAAAAAAAAAAGTTTATCGAAAATCTAAAAAAATGATCAAATGGAAACTTTTATATGATTATTGATAGTCATTATTAACCATAAAAAGTTAAATACTTAATTAACTATTACAACAATCATCATCGATCATTTCTGACAGCATTACCAAACTCGCAATAATTTTAGCTGAAATTATGAAATCCGTTAAAGGTTTTTAACTGCTATATTTTCTGATAAACTTTAAATATACTTAACATATACAGTTGTTCTCCTATATAGTCACCTCTTATATAGTCACATCTTCTCTTTAATCACATTGATCTACAGTCCCAAATTATTTTATATATAAATGATTCCTATATAGTTACAAACATATTATAATCACTATCACATTAAAATAAAGTCCAAATATAATATTTATTTAAGAGATTTTCCCTTTTTAT